GCAACATGGTCCACTTGACACTTTCAGTTGTTTTAAATATGAAAATTATTTATTTGAGATAAAAAAAACAATTCAAGCTACAAGAAATCCTTTACAACAAATTTGTAATAGGTTAAAAGAACAAGAATATATGCAAAACAATGATAATGAAAAAACGTATCCAATTTTACGTCAGCAATGTACTGATCAATTTCATAAACAAGATTTTATATTCTACAAAACAGTAATCATTGAAAAGTTTGAACTAAGCACATGTGATAAAGATAATTGCGTTATGTTAAAAAACAATTGTGTATTTTGTGTCGAAAGTATTTATAAAGAAATCAAGACTTCAGAAATCTTTTTAAAGGGAAGAAAATTCATTGAATCAAAACCATTTTTCAGTTCACCTTGTTCCTCAGAATTATTTAATATTCAGCAAACACAACATTTGTCATATGATTTGTACACAGTCAATATTCACGACATTAAAGGGAAATGTGTGAAATTTCCTTACGACGATGGTTTTATCATCATGCCATTGATTCATATGCAAGAATAATATAAAATATAATATAATTGCAAATAATAGTTTAGGTATTTTTTAGTAGGTACGAGTATATCAGGAGACGCGGTAGCGTCTCGCTAAGTTATATCTTTTATTCGTCAAATTAAAATACAATCTACAAAAAAACAAAAAAAAATATCGAAAGATATCGAAAAGATAGCGAAAATATCGAAACAATAGCGAAAATTATCCGTAGGACGCTACTGTGTATCCTTTACCGGACGTAACACGATTTTCGTAACCTTGAAAACAAAAATTTGAAATATTTCATGAACGGAAACATATTTTTCAAAAGATGACCATATCAATCGAAAGCGCGATTTTTTCCGAGTAAAATGAGACCTTAAGGAACTTGATAGCTCTATTGGTTGCGGAGATATGAATTTTTCAAGTTATTTTTTGGTCGAAAAGGTGTCACTTTTTTTTAAGATACGGCGTCGTACTTGTCCCGATCACCCATCCCGACAAAGTGATTCTGTCCGAAGCTGCTTTACCTTATCCGCGGTCACCCATCCTAGTATAGTGACATTTTCCTCAGCTGCTTAACCTTTTAAGCAACCAAACAAAAAATAAATTCTTGCTCTCTCTCACTCTCTCTCTCTCTCTCTCTCCCCCTCTCTCTCCCTCTCTCTCCCCCTCTTTCACCCTTTCTCTCTTGCTTTCCCACGTCTTTTTTCGCTCTCTCTCGCCCTCTCTCGCTTTCTCTCGCTGTCTCTCGCTCTCTCTTGCTCTCTACCGCTCTCTCGCGTTCTCTCGCTCTCTGCCGCTCTCTCTCGCGTTCTCTCGCTCTCTCCCACTCTCTCTCGCGTTCTCTCGCTCTCTCTCGTCGTCTCTCGCTCTCTCTCGGTTTTTTTCGCTCTTTCTCACTTTCTCTCGCTGTTCTCGCCTTCTCTCTCTCTCTCGCTCTCTCGCTCTCGCTCTCTCGCTTTCTTCCGGTCTCTCTCGCTCTCTCCCGCTCTCTCTCGCGTTCTCTCGGCCTCTCTCGCTCTCTCTCGCTCCCTCTCGTCTTCTCTCACTCTCTCTCGGTTTTTTTCGCTTTCTCTCGCTGTTTCTCGCTCTCTCTCGTTCTCTCCCGCTCTCTCTCGCTTTCTTTCGCTTTCTCTCGCTCTCTCCCGCTTTGTATCGCTCTCTCTCGCTCTCTCTCGCCCTCTCTCGCTGTCTCTCGCTCCCTCTTGCTCTCTGCCGCTCTCTCTCGCGTTCTCTCGCTCTCTCTCGTCTTCTCTCGCTCTCTCTCGGTTTTTTTCGCTCTCTCTCGCTTTCTCACGCTGTTTCTCGCCTTCTCTCGTTCTCTCCCGTTCTCTCGCTCTCTCTCGCCCTCTCTCGCCCTCTCTCGCTCTCTCTCGCTCTCTCTTGCTCTTTCCCGCTCTCTCCCGCACTCTCTCGCGTTCTCCCGCTCTCTCTCGCTTTCTCTCGCTGTTTCTCGCCTTCTCTCGTCCTCTCCCGCTCTCTCTCGTTCTCTCTCGCTCTCTCTCGCTCTCTTTCGCTCTCTCTCGCTTTCTCCCGCTCTCTATCGCTTTTTCTCGCTCTCTATCGCCTTCTCTCGCTTTCTCTCGCTCTCTCTCGCTCTCTCTCGTCTTCTCTCGCTCTTTCTCGGTTTTTTTCGCTTACTCTCGCTCTCTCTCGCTTTCTTTCGCTCTCTCTCGCGTTCTTTCGCTCTCTCCCGCTTTCGCTCGCGTTCTCTCGCTTTCTCCCGCTCTCTCTCGCGTTCTCTCGCTCTCTCCCGCTCTCTCTCGCGTTCTCTCGCTCTCTCCCGCTCTCTCTCGCGTTTTCTCGCTCTCTCCCGCTCTCTCTCGCGTTCTCTTGCTCTCTCTCGTCTTCTCTCGCTCTTTCTCGGTTTTTCTCGCTCTTTCTCGCTTTCTCTCGCTGTTTCTCGCCTTCTTTTGTTCTCTCCCGCTCTCTCTCGTTCTCTTTCGCTCTCTCTCGTTTTTTTCCGCTCTCTCTCGCTCTCTCCCGCTTTCTATCGCTCTCTATCGCTCTCTCTCGCTCTCTCCCGCTTTCTATCGCTCTCTATCGCTCTCTCTCTCGCTCTCTCTCGCTCTCTCTTGCTCTCTCCCGCTTTCTCTCGCTCTCTCTTGCTCCCTCTTGCTCCCTCTTGCTCTCTCCCGCTCTCTCTCTTGGGTCCTCTTGCTCTCTCTCGTCTTCTCTCATTATAAATATAAAAAAATATACATTTATTTAATGCATTTTGTTTAATGATCTTTGCAAAAATATGTGAAATCCCACAAAAAAAGACATCACAGATGTAAAAAAAAAGCGCTAAGTTATATCTTTCGTCAGCAAAAATAGTTCTTTATAATAATAAAAAATATAATCTTCTCAAAAATTATGTTTATAGCCAAAATAATTCTTTGCAAAAATTAATCATTATCAAAAATATTTTCTCAAAAATTATATTTATAAATTATATTTTATTTTTGTTAATAATACTAGAAAAAAATTAAAATATTAGCATCAAAAAGTAGTGAAATCAAAAAATTGCGCTAAATAATTATATTGATAATACGAGAAAAAAGGTTAAAATATTAGCATCAAAAAGTAGTCAAATCAAAAAGTTGCACTAAGTAAGTGACAACATAATATATAATATTTAGATAAATTTCTTATAATGATACAAATGTATAATTATTGCTTTATTTTAAAACGTTTATAATATATACAATAACAAAATAAATTCAGTAAAAATATATATATATATATTTATTCATCTTTATATTTAAATAACATGAATAATTATGTAATTAATTTAAACTGGAATGTATATACATTGTAAAGTTATTATATATTTTTATAAAATATTTAGATAAATAGATATATATAAAAAATAAATTATTTATCTCTAAATAATTATTTAATTCAAATATATTTAAACGTATATTCAAAAAAGGTAATATAAGGCACAAAGAATTAAATTTAGGAAATTAAAAAAATTTAAAGTTAAATAAAAATTTTTAATTTAAATTAAAAAATAAAAATAAAAGTAAAAAAAATGTAATGTACAAAAAATACTTAGCGCTGTTTTTGTATTATAGCCCTTTGACTACGAAACGTCCTTAAAAATGATGATTAGTAACGAAATGTGTATATACAGAATATATCACACACAGAAGTCGCATCCTATCTTTGGAGAGTGAAATGATGAAGTCAAAATAAGTCGAAATTAAAGAATCATGAAATTATATTTGAATCTTTTTTATAAAAAAATTCATAATGAAAATAATGCGCTTTAAACATCTATCTCGAAACTTTGATTGCGATCAGGAAAACATTGCAAATGCTTTAAAACATGTATCAGAATAAAGAAATTTTTATTCATTTATATTTTGATTGATCAATTAAACACTTTGAAATGCTCCATATACATTAATTAATATATGTATACATCAGGGTTGGGAAAGTTACTTTGTAAAAGTAACTAGTTACAGTTACAGTTATTTCATTGAAAAAATAACTAGTTACAGTTACAAGTTACCGATTTTAAAAAATAACTCGTTACAGTTACAGTTACTCTAAAAGTAACGAGTCGTTACTTTTCAGTTACTTTTTAAAAATAATTATACATTGTTTTAAATATAAGGAGCTTACATTTTATGCACAATTACAGTCAAGTATTTAAAAAAATTCTTGAATGTAATATTGATCGATTTGCTTGCGACTTTGCAATTAACATCAATGTATGAATGATCTTTATATACAACAGTAAAAATAGTTATAGTAAGTTACTAAATGGTAATCGCAAAGTCGCAAGCAAATCGATCAATTATTACCTTTAAGAATTTTTTTAAATATTTGACTGTGATTGGTCGATCTTAATTATGTGTTATATTATTTTATGTACACTGTTCGCGAGATTTTTTATGCACGTTGCGTGGTTCTCTTGATCGAGAGTGAGCTTGCGTTCTCTTTCCGTATCGCGAACGCTTTTAATTATGGATTGTTTTTTGGGATCTTGAGATTGGCGGTTAAGGAGAGAGGCAAAGCCGATGTTCACTAAGCACCGTCACGTATTTTATTGTACAGAAGCACAGAATAATGGATACTGATTATCGGAGCGGAGCGTGATCTCTCGCTGCCGGTCGTCGTCGGACTGACTCACAAACACCGTGCCTCGGCGAGGTCTCGGCGAGAGAGCGAGAACAAAAGCCAATTTCTGACAAACAAAATTCCTGAGCTCGCACATACAATACGAAGATTCGAGAATCGTTCTCGAATATGATTTTCAATTAATGATCGCAGAAATCAATAAGAGTTTCCGCAACATACCGCCCGCTTTGCATGCATCCGCATGCGAAATGAGTACCAAAATGGCAGAGAACCTTGCTCAGAACCGTGGTCTCGTAACTTTATTATACATGGATAATCAATTGAATCAATCCAATAATAGAGCTTTAACATTAGCTTGACCCAATTGCCGCAATGCTTAAACCTAAAGAATATACAATGCGCATAGTGTTGTTTATTTTACAGAAATCGACTGAGTCGTAGAGCGCGATAAAGAATCACAGTTAGCAATTGGCAGCTTGCATAGTTGAGTAATAGGGCGCTGAAGTAAGCTGGTTGCTGTACGAACAGTTACTACGCGAACGAGACCATCCGCGCCTGGGTGCACTTGGACGATTCGACCAAGGTTCCATTTTGCAGGAGGGAGTACGTTATTTTTGATTAAAACAAAATCATTAATCGCGAGATTCTGCTTGGAGTCACGCCATTTGCTTCGCTGCTGGAGGGAATGCAAATAGTCGTGAGACCATGTATGCCAAAACTGCTCGTGCAGTCTCTGCACAAGCTGCCATCTGCTAAGTGCGTTAAGATGTATCGTTGATACAGATTGTTCGGGAACGCTGACGAGCGGTCGACCGATCAGAAAATGACCAGGCGTCAACGCGGTAAAGTCCGAAGCATCATCCGACATTGGCGTCAATGGCCTTGAATTTAGGCACGCTTCGATTCTGCATAATAAAGTTTGAAATTCGACACGAGTTAGCACATGCGTACCGATTACGCGTTTCAAGTGATACTTCACGTTTTTTACATTGGCTTCCCATACCCCGCCGAAGTGCGGTGCTGCCGGAGGGTTGAAGTGCCAGGTAATGCGGTCATTGGCAATTTGACTTTTCAGAATAGGATCCTGAATAATAACGCGGAAAGCATTTCGCAGCTCCTTGTCGGCACCTATGAAGTTCGTGCCGTTATCACTGTAAATGTGGGATGGAAGCCCACGTCGACTTGTAAAGCGAGACAGGGCAGCGAGAAAACCTTCTGTCGAGTAATCATCTACACATTCGAGATGAATTGCCTTAGTAGTGAAGCATACAAAAATTGCAATGTAGTGCTTCATGGTCTTTTGACCGCGCGCTGCCCGCAAGGTCAAGGGTATTGGTCCGGCATAATCAACGCCGGTGCAGGTGAACGATGCGGACGGCGCAACTCTGTGTTCGGGCAATTGACCCATGAGTTGGTCTGCGGTGACGGCTCGGTGCCGCTCACAAGTAATGCAGCTTCGAATGTACTTTCTAACCTGAGAACGAGCGGAAATTATCCAATAACGTTGCCGTAATATGCGAAGCGTTAACTGAGTGCCGCCATGAAGGGCGGCCGTATGTGCATTAGCAATCAGCAACTGTACGATTCGATGATCAGCCAGAATGATCGGGTGACATTCCGAATAGGGCAACAGAGCGTTCTTCAACCGCCCACCTAGATGTATTAATTGATCTTGCCCAAGAAATGGGCGTAACGAGCTTAGTCGGCTTGATTTTGAAATAGAAACTTTTCGTTTTAACGCTGACAATTCTGAAGAAAACAGTTGGCGTTGAACTTGTTCAAGCCAAAAGTGTTCGGCATGATGGAGTTCGGCCGCTTCTAAAGACGAAAGATTCAATGAAGTCCCCTGTAATCGGTTGCGTAAATTGGTTACAAATCGAAATAGATATGCTGTAACCGTATCAATTTTGTCCATGTTGAAATGTCGTTCGGGAGATTCCATGTAGTGACATTGTCGGTAAGATGCACCGACGCCGAGGAGGATTCCTCCAGTAAAGCGTTAATCGATATGTCTTTGCTTGTCGATTGAATTGGCCACGTCGAAGAATGAGTGCGGAGCCAGGACGGTCCAGAAAACCACAAAGAGTGATTCATAAATTCGGTAGCAGACAAGCCGCGCGAGGCGCAATCTGCCGGATTCTCAGCTGATTTGACATGATGCCATTTAATTGTGGGAAGAGTGGTTTGGATTTCCGATACGCGAGTGGCGACATAAGTACGCCACCTTGAAGGGTGTTGAGTTATCCAAGCTAGGGTAACAGTGGAGTCCGTCCAACCGTACACAGGAACGTTTGACAGATTGAAAGACCGATAAATCCATTTAATCAGTCGACTGAGTAAAACTGCTGCGTTGAGTTCAAGTCTAGGGATACTGAGCGTCTTAAGAGGCGCAACCTTGGTTTTAGCGCATAGCAACGTAATCTGAACGTCGTCAAAGGATCTGAGAACGCGCAAATACACCATAGCGGCGTACGCACGCTTTGATGCGTCGGCAAAACCATGTAGTTCCATTCCTAAATTATCTCGATGCGAACCTGTCCATCGTGGAATTTTAATTGTTTCGAGCTTGGGTAAATCAGAATAGTATGAAATCCAGTGCTGGAGAAGATCAGGGGGGAGCGGATCGTCCCAGTCGATTTTTGCGAGCCAGAGCTCTTGAAGCAAAATTTTAGCCGTAATTACTACGGGCGACGCCCATCCGAGTGGGTCGTATAGCTTTGCAATCAACGACAAGACTGAGCGTTTTGTGTTCGCACCAGAGGTGCCAGAAGATACCTTAAAACAGAATGAATCAGTGTGCGGCGACCAAGACAGCCCAAGCACCTTCAGTGAGTCATCGCTTTTAATAGCGAGATCCGATTGCCGCCTATCAAGCGGAATGTCTGCCAGCAACTCCGAAGAGTTTGCAGTCCATTTGCGTAGATCAAACTGGCCACGCTTCATGAGCGCAATGAGTTGATCTCGAGTTTTGATGGCGTCGGAGATTTCATCCGCGCCGAAGAGAGTATCATCAACGTAGATTGAGTCGCGAAAAATCGTTTGTGCGAGGGGGAACTCGTGCCCGTCATCCTCGTTTAGTTGTTGCAATACGCGCATGGCTAAATATGGAGCACAAGCGGTGCCGTATGTAACGGTATTTAATTGGTAGTGATTGATATGTGCACAACCCGGGGGTTGCCACAGTATTCGCTGATAATCTCGATCTTCATGATGGACCGAGATTTGTCTGTACATTTTCGCTATGTCAGCTGTGTACACGTATTGAAATAATCGCCAGCGAAGAACTATTGCGGCTAAATCTTGTTGGAGTTTTGGACCGATCATAAGATGGTCGTTTAATGAAGTGCCGTTTGATGTACGGCAGGAAGCATTGAACACCACGCGTAGTTTCGTGGTGGTACTGTGTTCGCGAAGGACAGCATGATGCGGTATGTAAGCCGCGTCCGAAAGATTAGAAGTGGAGGGTTTGATCTGGGTCATGTGACCCAGCTCCTCGTAATCTGCTAAAAACGCATGATAGAGCGTTCTAATTTCAGACTGTCGTGACAGCCGATTTGTTAATTTGGCGTGAAGCACTGAAGTGATTTGAAATGATTCACCTATACTCGGCGGTAAGCCATTCTTAAACGGCAATCGTACCACGTAGCGGCCATGTACGTCGCGCTTGTGAGTTGCAGCAAAATGTTGCTCACAACGTTGTTCGTCCTCCGTTAGCGGAGGCTTGGAATCAGAAATTGTCTCGTCTGTCCAGAATTGTTGGATGACGGGAGCGAGGTCGTCTTCAACGACGCAATTGTGAACGTCAGCCGGAGGATGAGTTGCATCCGTGGGGCCTGTTGGTCCGGAGAGTATCCAGCCGAACAGAGTGGACTGCGCTGTCGGGGTTCCAGGCGGGCCATGACGAATGTCACCGATTAGCAGAGCACCGTATAAATCGGCCCCGATTAGTAAATGAATTTGGTGGGCGCTCGACGGATCAGGATCTGCAAGTTGCAATCCGCGCAAATGTGGCCATGAATTTATTTCCCGGATCTGAGAGGAAGCGTATGAAGTGATTTTTTCATAGGCGTATGCCCATAACGAGACGGATTTTCGCGGATTGAAACTTGGAGAGAGAGATATGTGAACCCGCGAGCGAGCCGACCCGCTGTATTTTTCCCCGAAGCATCGAATCTGCAGATTAGCGCGTTGACGCCTGGTTCGCAACGTTTGACATAAAGATTCGCTTATGAAGCTGTATGTGGATCCCTGATCCAGAAGGGCACGCACCAGTGTAGTACGTCCTTCTTGTGTCCGCACGATTACCCACGCAGTAGCGAGGAGAATATTCGCAGGCGAGCGCGTTTTCGGCGATACGGATTGTACCGTAGCTGTGACGGGAGACGCCCTTTGTACGAGTGTCTCTGATTTCGTGTCGGGTAATTGCTGAGACGCGTCATCCTTCGATTCGGCTTTAAATAATTTATGTAATGTCGTGTGATGTCGTTTCTGACATCGTAAGCATCGACCTCGTGACATACAGACGTTCGCGGAATGACCTTTCCGGAAGCAATTTCGACACAACTGTTTCTGGTCGATAAAATTAATTCGTTGATCTATCGATCGTGCGAGAAATTTATCGCATTTCGAAAGCCAATGAGTTCCGGAACATTCAACGCAGTTTAATGTAATTACATTATTGACGGTACCGCGCGGTTTTCCATTGCGAGAATTGGACGCCGAATTTTCTATTGACATGCCCTGATCGGTCAGTCCACGGATGCGTACGGTCATAAAATCATGAATTTCTTTATAAGTCGGGCATTCCGACAGGCTACCACATTTTAAATTCCATTCGGTTTTAGTTTTAGAACTAAATTTGCGTGATATCAAATAAACGAGTAGATCATCCCATGATTTGACCGGCCGATCAAGGCTGTCTAAAGCAGCGAGAGATGCTGCTACTGAGTCGCGAAGTTGGCGTAATTCCGCGGCGGTTTCCGATCGCATTATCGGGAGTTCCGCAAATGCATGGATGTGAGATTGAATGATCGCAAACTTATTGTCGTATTCGTCGGTTAGCAGTTGCCACGTAGCAGCATAGTTTTCATCCGCAATTCGAATATTCGCTATTAATCGCGCTGCGTCACCGGTGACACTTGTTTTTAAATAGTGTAATTTTTCTGTATTTGACAGACAATCGTTATTAGTCACTAATGACTCGAAAATACCTTTAAAATTTTCCCACTCCGTAAATTTGCCGGAGAATTTAGGCAATGAAATGCGCGGCAAATGTATCGGACGACGCGTGTCGGAATCAAAAATAGACGATCGATCGCTCGTATTATGCGTAGGAGGGGTTGGACTTAGCTTTTTGATGGCTTCGTTGATCAGGTCCACGGTGACGTCATACGTTTCTTCCGCAGCATAGAATTCCTCCTTGACGAAGTATGGAAGTTCGCTTTTTTCCTTGGGCGTGACTGCATGCAGAATCCTCACATGAATAGCCTTGCACGATGACCATTGATCGTGAAGCTTCTTCAATCGGCTCTCCAGTTTGATTACAGTTGTCTGTGCTTTGGACAGCTTCTTGACATTCACCAAACTGCGATTGATCGCGTCGATGGTGAATGATTGTTCCGTGAGCAGAAAATCAATGGACTCTGTCATTGTAATAACGTAGATAAGAGTCAACTGATTTGATTGAAAGCGATAGTGCACCGCAGGTAGCGAGGGATGCGGCGGCCGATCAGCGGCGCTTCACTTGCTTAATATTTGTTGTTCCGGTGCAACAGCACTCACCGAATGGCGTGTAATATCGTGATACTCATTTACTGAGAGATAGCCAGCTCCGGAGCACTGTTTCATGCACGATAGGTGTTGATCGCCACTGTAGGGCACTGGTATTGTCGCCAGTGTTGTTTCACGTGGGCACTGTGTGATTGTGCGCACGGCTAGATGGGGCGCGCACGTGTTCACTGGCGTGGGTCGCACGTGATTTGCGAAGTCCGAGGAATGTTTCAGATAATGCCGACGACTATGTAATGCCGCAATTTTTTGAGAATTGCACTGTACACTGTACTATATGATAAGGTTCAGCTTGCAGTCCAATAACGCCAAGAATCCGGCTCGAAGGACCAAAAAAAATGTTCGCGAGATTTTTTATGCACGTTGCGTGGTTCTCTTGATCGAGAGTGAGCTTGCGTTCTCTTTCCGTATCGCGAACGCTTTTAATTATGGATTGTTTTTTGGGATCTTGAGATTGGCGGTTAAGGAGAGAGGCAAAGCCGATGTTCACTAAGCACCGTCACGTATTTTATTGTACAGAAGCACAGAATAATGGATACTGATTATCGGAGCGGAGCGTGATCTCTCGCTGCCGGTCGTCGTCGGACTGACTCACAAACACCGTGCCTCGGCGAGGTCTCG